AAAGCGTGTTCAACGTCGTCGACTGACTGCGAGGGTCAGGACTGGCCCCAGGTAGCTCTTTTGAGTTCCTGGAACGTTGTCGAGTCCGTTGGCTGTGGTTCGGAGTCGTTGTAGTGCCAGGAAACGAGGCGGAGCAATGGCAGCTCTCTTGCGAGATCTTTGCTACCTGCAGTTTCCTGGTCAACGACCAGTGCGAAACGGTAACAAAACTGGTCAACAACCAGTGTCAAACGGCGACAAAGCTTTGTGAAGTCTCCTAAGGTGCTGGCAACAAGCTGGACAAAGTTTTAGAAGTTTCGGAGGGAGGGAGGCGAAGGAAGTCATGGCGTTGGACGGCGCTGGGCGTCAACGGCAAAGCGAGGCATCGGACGGCTGGCAACGAGGTGACATTCTGACCAGCATCTAGAGACGACCGGTGATGAATGCCAACTGTGAAGCAAGTCCCTGTGACACTACCTGGAACACCAGTGAAGGGGAGGCCTGAGGATTTCGCTGGAGGGAGAACAAGTCCACCTTTGGATCAAGAAGATGTTAGGAAGATCTGAGACAACTGGAGGAGTTTGTCGAGGTTGTGGCTGGCGAGGAAAGCGGTTTCTCTGCAAGCAAAGAAAGCGAGGAAGGCAGCAAGAAACAGCTTCCAGGAGCGCTGAGAAGGTGTTCTGAAGGCAGAGCTGCGGAGGGAATTGAAGCTGAGATGACTACTTCTATGCAAGAAACTGTGGTTAACGAGTGAAGGTTGTGCGGAAGTTACGAAGGAGGCTCGTTGAGAGTTGCATCGTCCTGAAGGTTGTAGATTACCCTGATGACCTGTTGGTACTGAGGAAGGAGACTCCGAGGGAGCAACGAGAGTCACCACCTGCAGAGCTGGAGCTGGAGAGAGCAATTCTGTGGGTTCTTTAAAATTCCTGGCAGATTTTTGGTCCCTTCGCTGCCATCAATTTAGCCCTACTGTTCTCTGATTTTCTAGCGCCTTTCCTGCTGAAAATCTACCAATTGGAAAAGGCGTTCCTGTTCAGTGTGACTGCTGAGTTGAGAAGGTGGATGCTTCATGTGTTGGAACCCTTGAGAATATAGGTATTGAACTTTGCTCCCTCAGGAACTGTGTCAGCGCTCTGTGGCAAGTTGAGTCGGAAAGACATTGTCAGGGTCGTCAGGAGGGTGCTGTGATTGGGCAGCCTGTGGCTCAACCCTCTGAGGTGCTTATTCACTGGAATCACATTGTGTGCATCTTCCTGCTGGGAGCCTCAATGGGGCGTCTTATTTTCGTAGGAGCCTATACTATCAGGCTCGGGACTGGACGCTTGTTGTAATATACAAGTGACAAGGCGTTACTCACCAGCCCATAGGGCAGTCAAAACAGAAGCCTTGTGACATAGGGTACATATGTGAGGGAGCAATGCCAATTGGCGTTCAGCGCTCTCCTCCACCCGCTTGTTAACACATTCGATTGACTCGACTCAATCTCCGCGTGAGGGCTTTGCCCTGAGAAGTGGATTATAAAGAACCGTAACAGGGGCCCCCCATTTGCGCCCTGCCCCATTGGCATCACGTTTTCATTTAAAGACGTAGGCAGCGGCGGAAACGATGGGGGACCGTTCACATCCAAGAGCCAAGGTGTCGCCGTACGAAAATAATAATGTGAAGGGCCGCATGCCAAAGTGGTGCTGGTCAGCATCTAAATTTGTTTATAGGATGCGCAAAAATTTTGGATTACCTTATCTCCAATGGGGCATTATCTTCCACTAGCACATGACTTGCAAGGCATCAACGCTTTTTTGACGCAGTGAACAACTGCTGACACCACTTATTCGCATCTCAATCTCTGCGATTCTGGCCGTCACTGTCGACCTCGCATTTGGCAACGCCTCATGTCTTTCGAGATCCCAATTGAAGAGCTTCTCGCAGGTTCAAAACAACCCATATGGATCTTTCGAGATCCCAATTGAAGGGCTTCTCGCAGGTTCAAAACAACCCATATGGATCTTTGCCCTGTACAAGACAAGCTCGCCAGAGCTTCAGAAAAAGTTGAGGTTGAATGCATTGGACCTTAAGGTTGCTGAAGCTCTGGTTAACCTTGCCTACATCTCTTGATGAAAATGCGAGGCTAGAGTGGGTGGCCGCGTTAAATCACACTGAAATCTGTCACTGGTTTTGCCTTTTTGGGTGGCGTCTGTGTCTCCTGAGGCGCATTGACCCCTCAAAAGGCCGCATCGAAGATCTCATCGAGGTCATCAGTGTGTGCCTCCCAAAGTTGCGTTGATGTCGCTTCCAACGCACTCAAGAAAAAAGGAATGCCCAGTAAATGGGCTACTGATGCACACGGTAACACTGGCCTAAATAACAGACAACAGGATGCCAACGCGTGCCCATTACTTCGAAAGTTTTGTGCATGATGACGCCTGCTATACCAAATAACTATGCTGCGTGTGCCAACAGCTTCTGTTACCACTAAGTCCATTCGCATCTTCAATATGTCGCATCACGTCGTGCTTTGCACCATGTCAATGTGGAGTCAATATGTATGGCTGTATGCATATTCAATACTACTGTATCTCAACAAAATACTGTCATTTCCTCGGGATTCGAGCATCAAGTAGGTAATGCTGCGGCCGCAGATTCCGTCGAGTGTCAATGCGACACACAGATCTCAGAAACCATAGACATCACGTCCAGATGTACCTGCAGCACAATTAGACTGCGAGGAAAAAGCTAGTTTACAAATGCACACATTTCAAAATGCATGTTTCCATGCTGCGAGATACCAGCCTCAAATAGGTGGCACTTGGATCACTGGGTTTGCGCTTGAAGCCCACATCAGCAGCGATGCCAATAATCTCCAGATCCACTTAGATCCTCGTTGGTACTTTATTGCATACTCTTGTGCGAAATTTGGGCCAATAGTCTCCAAATTCATGACCCATCCTCGTCGGTGGTGCATGTGCCACATTGTCTGTCTGCCCATCTTCCTGGTGCCAGTAAAGACACCGACTTCTGCGCAAAACTGCACCACAAGTCCCTCCGACCACCAATTCGCGATCGCACATGATCTCCCACACATCCCATGTTAACTATCCCCCCGTGTTGCCACAGTGTACCAGAAGCCTTAGAACTAACAGGAGACTAATAGTAGCCTCGAGCACTGAGTCTGCATGAATTTCGGTTCTTATCTCACCAGGGCCACCACATCTCCAGATGCTACACGATCTTGATCTTGCACTTGCGCACATTCTGAGGTGATCACCAGTAACCCTGTTGGTCGGGGCCTTGTGTCACTCATCGCTAGCGTACGCACAGCTACACAGCTGCGCGGTGACTACAGCTGGAACCAAAACACACTCCCAAGCAACTAGGCACAAAGGACGGCCTTGCGTTTCGCCATCCCCAGCGCTGAACATGAATTGATTCGATTATAATCGACGTCGCGTGTTCCTCAGCTGCACATCAAAAGACCAATCATACCTTAATTGCTCTCCAACGTATATGCCAAAGTGCCCACCCCCATGCTCCGGCATCTTATTCGCGCCAGATAATGTCGAACTTTGCTCAGCACAGGTGCAATTCGTTCGCATGCATAGCGCTGAATTGAACATCCACACTTTCACTATTCTTCAGTTTCATGGACTTGATTGCTACCTAAAATAAGCTGTCGCCTGTATCAGGCGGCGTGTCATTTGTCACCGGCCTCCGCTGCCCATAACAGCGAAGTGACTCACGCGGCCAGCACAGTGCAACGAATTTTTTTCGCTTTTGAGCGCTTGAAGGCTCACTGGTGAATGAATTGTGTCCAATCCACTGCCGCTTCGGCCTTGAAAACAACCCCACAATCCTGCTCCCGGAGACATTTTCGTCGAGTCCCCAGCCCCCTGGTACATTTCATCTATTCAGTTCATCATCAGCGGTGTTCAATTCCCATTAGCTGATTCCTTTTCTTGCCTTTGCATCTTCCTTATCCCTGTCTCCTTTGTTGAACCTTGGAAGTTGTGGACAGTTGCAGATTCCACTGCTGGGTATAACACTGGAACGATCATGCCTGGCGTCTGCCCAAGCGCAATGTTCCACACTCGGAGTCCTTATGCTTGTCCATGAGAATCCCCAAACTGTGAAAACAGCGGCAATTAATTCAACAACACAATAAACAAGTAACGACTGGATTAGGCAGCGGCCTTTTGGCAATGCATAGCGTGATGGGTGCGATGAAGAATGCATATGGCTGCGGCTCCGACTGCCAGGAGACAATCAGCCAAGAAGCGAATGTACCAATAGTGCGCGACTAATATAGCCCCTCTCGCAGCAGCGCCAAATCAATCGAACAGTCAAGAATGTGTACTTCACGTAGCATATACAATTTGGCACCTTACTATGTGGCGAGGTTGTGCAGTCGAACCTGTTGTTCTTCAGAATTTTCAATCGCACATGGCCAATGACCAAAAAATAATGACCACTACTAACCGGCGATTAAATGGAGACAACGGCAGACGGAGGAGCGTCGCCGAAGGGAGCGCTAGCTCTGGCTCCGCAGAATTACCACGTAACTGCACGTGCACAATGTCGTTAGCGCGGGGAGAGGCGACGAGGGATGTTTCTGCCCTACCGATACACCCCACAGCAGCGTAAGCACTATGCAAAGATGCTGTTTTGGCTTTGCGCAAGCAGCCAACATGGATGGATCTTTCTACACATGGACCACTACAAATCTCCATCACTGCAGATGGATTGTGTACCACCGAGTGCCATCTATCTTGCATGAAGCCGTCTGCTTGAGAGGCGAAATGTGAGACTGTCTTCGAGTTTTATGTCAGGCACACCATTTGTTCTCGAAAGCAGCCGGAATAGGCAACCCAATGGTAAACGAATGCCACAGGTGTTGAAATAATGCTTACGATTACTGCATGGAGGATCCTATATCGATCGATTTCAAGTAGCCAAAACGCTCCAGTGATCGAACGACTGGTTGGAAGGGTGCATGCTTACCTAACTACTGGACGATCTGTCCTCATGGATCACCGCGGCTCGGGAGGGTCTGGAGGAGGCGTTGCCAGGGAGGACCCTTCGCCGATCGCGCCCATGCGCTGTGGGTAATTCCTCAACGCCTCGTTTTCCCTTCTCAATTCGTCGTTCTTCAGTTCCAGCTCCTTCATCTGTGGACAACATTTTTGAATTATCGCTTGCAAATAACACCCCTTTTAATGGAAGTGCACCGGCTACATACATGACAATTGTCCATGGTGATGTTGCCTGCATTTACGACATGGGCAACTGCACCAACGGCTCCCTTGGCAGCAGCGAGGCTTCACATTCGCGCGAAGCAAGTGCAACCTTCTTCATTCATAATGCTTGGAATGGTTCATCGGTTCACAATTCAGGGGACCCGTCAGCGCATAGCCAAAATGGGCGTGAACTTTGCCGCCCTCAGGGCGGCAAGCTTCGGCAATTGGTGCCCACCATCATCGTCTGTACAACCGCCCCATGGTAGTGCGTCATCCAGCACATGGCCCCGTTGTAGAGCGGCTGAGGCAGTGCGAGGATGGGTTGTGTGGTGTTCGCGCGTTGCAGGCAACCACCGAACAGGCTTTTCGCACTACAATACGACAGCCATACAATATACCATACATGACGCGCAGGCCTGATTCGACACACGCATTACACAGCACCTGCGAGAGAGGCCCAGGGTCCAGCCCTGTTCCTGGTCGAGGCGCCAAACGCGGGGTTACACGTCTGTCACAGGCCGCCCAGTAAGTTGGAGTCGAGGTTCGTCACGAAGAATCAGTGTACGTCGGATGGTCACACCACACACCTGCATGCTGCAACCCGCATGGACACCCAGCCACCCCCCCTCCCCCCCGGCAGCACACTGCCCACGCCCGCCCTTCCGGCAGCACCTTTCACCCACGCCCGCTCCCGCCGACCGGCCCCACATCCCCAGAGAGCCCCTTTCCACTGCCCGATTTTCCCCGCTCACCGCCTCCCGCAGCGTCTTCGCGTCGTTCTCCAGCTCGGCGATCAGTTTCTTTTGGCGCTCCCTGAAGTTCCTGTTGGACCTCCGGTTGCGCTCCTTGCGCCGCTCGTCCCTCTCCGCGGCGCACAGCGCCCCCACCCGCCGCTTGCGCCTCGCCACCACGGGCTGCGGGTCGCTCTGCACCTGCACCTGGCCTCCCTCATGCCCGCTGGAGGCCGGATTGGACTCGCCCCTGAGGACGCCAACCAGGTCAGCAACAATCAGCGAGCCAAGCACACACCCCGCCTTTGCTTGCCGCGCCCATCCGATCGACAGGCTCCGCCCATCGCGTCATTTGCCTCGGGCGCCGCTGCGAACGGCGGCGCCCCGTACATCGCCCTGGCCCACCGAAGCAGCGCAGTACAGGGGACTCACAGCACCAGATTCCACGCGCTACAGAACGTTCAAATGGCCTGCGCAGCACCTCCACACGCGCGACCCGGCCAAGATCCACTTCATCTCAAACGCGCCGGCCGCCCCCCAAGGGGCCCTCGGCCACTCACGTCATTCGCCCCGGGCTGCTGTCCGGGAGATCCTCGCACAGCGCCGTGCGGCCCAGCGGCATCGCCGGCTGGGGCGGCAGCCCTCCGATGCCCAGCAGGCCCAGCGCCGCTGCGCTTGAGACCGGCACCAAGAGCACCTGGCAGGGCTGCGGGGCGTCCCCCTGCCCATCACCCTCCTGCGAGTGTGGGTCGAGCGACATTTCAAACGTGTTGCATAATGGGGTGGGGCGTCAAGGGGGGGCCGCCAAATTGGATCTACAGGCGCCTTTGAGGGTACTTATCCCACGGTCTGTCGAGCAGGCCGCGTCCCAGGGGAAGCGCCGCGTTGGCGGGGGGGGTCGTCGGCAGTACATGGATGTGGACGTCAGTGGGGTCGCTCAGAGGGGCGCCGTTCCGCATGCCGAAGCCTCCGTACTTCGGACGTGACCACACGTGTGGGCGCAAGCGGCCGCAAGGGCGGCTGACGCCGCGCGGGTGCAAAGTGCAGTAGACCGTGAAGACCGGTGAGAGGAAAAGGGATGGCATGTTCTTTTGCAAGCCCACAGTACGGCACTGCTGGGGCGGCACTCCGTTCAAAGCGGGCGTGCTGTACGGAGTACACGAAAGGGCCGCACTGCGGCCAGCCCCCCCGGCACAGGGCACCCATTCGCTGTCCAATCATGGACCGTGTTCGAGCGTCCCAAAAGAATGACGAAGAACGTCCGAGGTCACACCCGCAGCCATGCGCCCCACAGATGCGTGCAGACGCGTGCCCACATCGAACAGTGCACACGGCGCATTGCCGCGTACCGGAACGCGCACTATTTATGGTCCCGGCGTGGCACAACGGAGCTAGGGTACGTGGCACGGCACAACGTGGTGCTGATGTGCGCACGGGGTACCTGGACCGCCGGTACTCGCGTGGCACAATGCGATTGAAACTCACGATTTAGGGTGGCAGTCCGCCTGCGAAGATTCTAATTCGCTGGTGGGGTGGCGGGAGGCTCGCCATGAACGACGTGGCTCCCTCGAGCTGTGGGAACCTGATCCTCAGCGGTTCTTTCCCTTAAATGGGTCGCTTCTCCGCATCTAGGGCTCGGTCCAGAGCACATTCCGTGCGACGCGCGGTGTAAAACAATCTGCGCCATTGGTGTAAAGTGATGCGGTGCTCGTGCAGTCGCGTTGCTGGAAGCATGGAACACGCTGTGTTCGTGGCGTGGATCATTCTTTTCGCTGAGGTCAACAATAGGTTCTCGGTGCAGTAGTCTCTGCCGACCAAACATCACTGTGATCACTCATCTGTGGTCAGTGCCTTGTGAGGCGTGGTTACAGGGTTGCTGATAGTCACATGTATGTTGGCGATGAAAAAGGCGTCCACTTGGGGCCACCAGTCGCCGAGTGGCAACCAGGGACTGTGCCAGGCTGGGGCCGCGACGAAATTGCTTTCGCCATCGTGTTGCAGAAATTTGAGCATAGTTTCCATCCAAATGTAAGACTGTCTTTGTCAGAGGAGCTGTTTCGCTGATGCAAAAATTCGATGATTTAGACTTGCAGTGAGTGCCAGCAACTCCATTGCCGTGCAGTTTTGTTGATGCCACGTCACTTCGTTTTCTGGCTGCCGTGGCATGCTCGAGCCATCCTACACAACGTGTAACGCACTCACTCATTGGCAGTCCCAACCATCCCAAGTTCACAGCGTAAATTTCACCAGGAGGCGTCAGCTGGTCTGATAAGGCGAGTACGTCATCGAACCTACTTCATACGCACCGTGACAGACGATGCCTACATCTGCCGCAACGTCAAAAGACATGCCCATCGACTTGAAGCTCACAGAAACGGGCCCCACAATCCACTTTGAAACTTATCCTTCGATCCGCTGAGCCTCAAAGCCTATTCTTCTCACAAACGGTGGTGTGCTTTGAAACTTTGAACCAGCTGCAGGAGCATGTGCATCTCGCTTTCAGGGACCCAATCACCTTCCACAGCAGTAGCGTGGTGGCCGTTCAGTCTGGGGCTCCTCTCTCCTGGCTACTGTGGGACTGTGGGATATATTCTCAATTCTTTTAAAGCTCGGAGGCCCACAGCAATTGGCTTGACACTGTCCTCTACTTGTCATACTACTGAGCGTCAATAAATTGACGGCAGCGGCGAATTTCTGTTTCCATTTTGGGAGGCATAGCAAAGAATACGCAGTAATTGGCAGATTTGTTACATTGGCCGTTGTCTCCGATGGCGCTTCCCAACTTCTCCAGTACAGTGAACTTTTTGGGCACCAAAATACATCGGGTGGGTGAAAGCCGAGCATGCAATCCTTCTTATCGCGTGTGCACGTTTCATGTGTCGGTGGGAATCATATCTCTCCGTTGCATTCCTTACAACCACTGACTCGCCAGGCCTTCATACACAGAATGAGTTTTTCGCATGAATTTACATGAAAAGTCATGTCCGAGCTACAATTCCTGCTTTACTTTTTAAGATCAAGTCAATGAGCTAGCCCGTCACTATATTTAGTTCTTTGGTTGATGTGAGGTTGATATAGATCCTGTAATCTTAGCCTCAGCACACAGCACGACGCTCCCAGATCTATCAAGAGCTTCCCACTCTCTAGTTCCACCCGAACTCTCAATTCCCAGTATTGTTGCGGTGGCATTGTCTCGACATGTTCCAATCCTTTAGAATAAATCCCTGCACAACTTCTTCAAGAGCACCTGCATCATAAGTTTCATACTCGCTAAAAACCCCGTTCATTTACGGAGCTATAACCACCTCTTGCCACAGTGCTTAATGGTGTGGCCAAGCTCTGGTTTTCAGCGCATGGAGCGTTGGCCTCAACCCCAACCACTGCTTTTATTTGGCAGCATCATGCATGGTGTCACAAACATTCGAGCGTCTATGAAGTCGATTAAACTGCACTGGTGAAGACATCTGTTAACCCTCAGCCATTGTACGCACGGTGCTTGTCGACAACCCAAATTCTGCTGCTAAATCTCATCCTGTCTTTTACCTGCGACTTGGATTCATAGTCGAGCTCTATCTCCAGTGAACGCAAATCCAATTAGCCATTCCTCTCTCCTAGTGATAGCTCACCACTATTCACCTCTATCTAATGGCAAGATCGGCTCGCCATACCCAACTCAACGCCCCTGCAAAGGAAACTTGTTGATTGATACCCTCTTAACATTTCGCAATAATTTTGGTAATAGTTGCTCAGTCTGAGGACTCTGCGGATAGCCTCCAATGCCATGCATCGAAGTTATTGCAGTCATGTTTTCTGAATCGGGCGTTTTGACCTTCATTTGCAGGAGTTAGGTGTAGTACAAGTTTTGTGTGATAGTGGAAGGTTATCTAGAATCGAACAGAGTGTCACCGCTGCAAGCATTTTGGAACAAAATGAACGAGCCCTGCGTAGTGGTCTTACACAGCACGTAGATGTTGCATCACACAATGGTACAATCTTGGATTCCATTGATACAGGACAAGCAGCAATAACGGTGGGAAGAGTATCGTTTTTGACAATCGCCGACAGGATTGCAGACCCAGCCGGCTCAATACATGTAGGTTGTGATGACCAAGGCCATCGAAGTACTGCAAATGCATACAATGGTCGAGGTGCTCTAGAAAGCGTCATTTCATTGTGGCACATTTGGCCATCGTCCCATTCATGGCAGGTGAAACTTAATTAATTGTGTTCTTACCCAGATTACATCCCAATTTTCTCATTGTGTGGATTTGTGGTGGCTGCCAATGCATTGCTCATTGTGCTTGATGACCACCGTATGAATCTATTGCCGCAACAAAGGGCACGAAAGCTCCAAGCCAAAGGTCAGCTGCAAAACATTGAAACATACTTTGAGGAGCATGCTTTTGAAGCGGCAAAATAGAGCTGCCCGTGCAAAACTATCCATGTCATTCAGATATAAGATCAACGTGGTGCTTGTGAGGAAGCACAATGATAAGAAATTGTTTGCAACACTGCATAATGACCACCGTTTTGCTGGGTGGATCACTTATGACTAAACTGGCAAGGGACTCGTGTCTAATGCGTGTATGATTCTGTGGGATGGCCCGAGTATGCCACCGCCAACTAGAAAAAGAAAAGGGAAAAAAACAGGAAAAAAAGGTCGAGTGCTTACACTTTCGGTAGTATAGCAAGCTGGTCATGAAAACCAAGAGGAATTCATACCTCAAGTGCCACTGGGGGTTGGTGATGACTGATCAAAACCCTATGCATCAAGAGTATTCAGTATGCATCTTGAGTAAGGATATTACCCAGTTTGGGCATATCTCTGTTTGTCCTCAAAACCACTCACTCCTGGTTAAGAGGCTTTTGGCCTGAGAAAGGCTAATAGAAATCATGCAAAACTGAAAGCTTGAGCCCACACCTAATGGCTCTTCCTAGGGTGGACTACCCCATGCTAAGATTGCATTTTTTATATTCACCAGTCACCCACAGCGGAAATACCGCTATGGAGAAAATATGCGCAGTGGCTGTCGTGCGAACTATTTCATCACATCGCTTTTGCCTAGATTCGACCCCATAAACTAATGTCTCCTTCTAGCTATGGGTAGAGTCTGGCTTAGTGGCTACAAAACAGTGTTTTGAGTCATGTTGGATAGGTGTTTGGGCCCCAAGAAACATGTTGGGATATCTCTTGCCTTGTCATAGGGTGGTGTTGGTGTTTTGCCCAACTTGCCCATTCTTCAGTGGTTTCAGATGCTGAGTTTGTCATGTCGCTCATAAGTGTTGCTGAATAAGTGGCAGGGACTGAGATATGCAAAAGGAAAGGAAAAAAAGAAAATAAAAATGGTGAAAATACAAGATATGGTCAAAACTCTTGAACAAAGAGTTTTGGAACTGTCAGGGTACCCATTGGTGGTCTGGGTGCTGACCATGATATGGTGATTGCAAAGTACCACTGAGCAAGTGGCAGGGCTGGAATTTTCACAAGAAAGGAGGAAAAGAGAAAATTGAAAAACAACTAAAACAATGTTTTGGACTCTTGGACAAGGAGTTTGGCAGTTTTTATCATCATTTTATTCCTGAAAAAGGGGTTTGAAGTGTTGGAAGTACAAAATGAGCCAGAAAAAGCGCAGTTTTGAAGCTTTCCAAAAGGGGCCTTGAGGAACATGCATTCATTTGGGAATTAAGGCACTACCCTTAAGAAAGAGGTTGTGAGGTTGTGGCTACTTGCAGGGTCAGTTTCTGAAGAAGAAGCTAAAT